TGAATGCTAAACATTTACATATCCAAGCCTTATGTAATGGATGTCTGAATAATAATAAAACTGCATACACTGACCTTCATTCTCTGGCACCACATCTCCTTTGAAGTCTGCATGACCAAATTCAAGACAATTATGTCATCCTTCATAACAGCCAAACAAAAGTTTGGCCAAATAATCATTTTTCTCTGTATAACAGCGCTGTGTTTGATTTTTGTAATGTGTGTCAATGTAGCTGTTGTTATTTACTGGGTGTTACAAGTGACAGTAAAAATCCCCTTGTTTTAGATTAAAGATCAGCCCTGGTAACATCTGGATTTCATTTATTTTACCTCAGTGCCCACTTCTGCTATACTCGGTTATTTTGAGTAGTACATTGCAAGGCAAGTATGGCCTGAAAACACACACACACACAAATAATTTGCAGAACATGGTGTTACAGTATGTACCCATATGTGGCAGAAACAAAACAGAGCCTTGGATAGAAGAAGGGAAGCTGGCACTAACATTTTCTCCTCTGTCCAAATCTACCAGTGCCACACTTTCAGTAAAATTCTCCATATACAAGGCTGCCTCTGTCAGTTAAGGGTTGTCAGCAGAGACTCAGATTGCACATTACTGGGCCTCAGACCTTGAGGAAACCTTGGCATACTGTCATCTCAGTCTTTCAGACTCTGCCTATATCACCAAGTGCTTCAAAACTTGTAGTTTATTTTCCCCATCCCCTGATTCAAGTGATCCTTGCCCAGGTCCATGTGCAGAGTCATGACTGACCTTTTTTTTTTTTTTTTTTTTTTTTTTTTTTTTTTTTTTTTTTACTTTCCAAACAAATTATAGATTGGATACATAGATTGGGATGAAATATTTGAAACTTACTTTGTCATATAAACTGGATTCATTTCTGCAGAGAACATCGTATAGGTTCTCAAATACTGCTTTGAATGCAATGCCTGCATCTAACCCTCTGTTCACACATGATGCTTTTGGAATGGATACAACTCCCACTTGTGTAGCTGGATCCAGTGGAAGTGTGACACCTTGTGCTGTCTAGTTCTACATAAAGAACAACAAATCGTCTGGGTTGTGTTTATAGCTGTTTTAAGTTATTTTATCTGGATTCACTACAGCACTTGTGGCTTTACTTGATCATGTTACATCATAGGTGCACACGTGCATACACACGCACACATTTATGTATGCGTCAGTACATACCTACTTTCACAATGAATATGCTTAATGTACGTGTTCCACTTCATCTGTTGCAAAATTAAATCGGGAAAAACACTTCTACTGTAATACGGTTC